CCGAAACAGAGCAATGACTTATCCTGTAGCAGGTGTTCTTGGCATAAGTTCATAGTCTAAATGCATACGCCTCCTCTCACAATGCCATAGGGTTGCCACGTTGTTTTGTGTAGATCAAACACTCAAAGAAATTTCATTTAATGCTATTTTAAATTTGCTCTGGTAAAGGTTTAAGATAGGAAATGTGCCATAGTCAAAGCATCAGAAAGAACAACCGCGGGATGGATTTAGTGGACTACTTTAGTAACCTGCAAGATGCTTGATTTAGGAATTTTTCATCTTAATTGACTGAAAAGGAAATATAGTTACTACTGAAATACTGAAATACTCATAATAAGCTTAGCGTCTTTGATAGTAAGTGTAACGCATATGATTGTTTGAACTCTAATCTGTAATTTCTCAGTGTCTCATGTACACAAGTTTACATGTTTGAAGTTACTGGGCACCAATGTTAAAGTTACTGAGCAATAATATGACTTTTCCATGTTATACCTTAACAATGCCATACTAGTGTTCTCAAAGCGTCCTTCTGCATATATAGTACTGTAATTGCATGTTTTTGACTGCAGTAACAACAACAATACTCTTACATGTTACAGGCAAGCAGCTGTTACTTTTCAACTTCCTCCCAAAGAAAATCTAAGTTCTACACAGACCCTGTAGAGGCAGTGAAGGACATCCCTAATGGAGCTACCCTTCTCGTGGGAGGTAAGCCAAATCTGCGATCTTCTTTCCCAAAAATGGACATTAATTATATCAGCACAGTTCAGTAAGATGTAGAGTAGCTTATAATAGTTCTCAACACAATACCATTACTTTAAAAATAATACTACTCAGGTAGAAGTAAGAACTGACCCAACAAATGACTCTAAAGAAAGATTTCAGCTAATGCAATTGGTCTGATAGAGTTGGTGCTGAAAACATACAATAAATGCTCAAATTCAAGTCTTCAGAGATAAACATACATTTTTAAACTAAATCTAAAGGTAAAGTCCACATAAAGCTTGTGTCAATAAGAATCTAGGTATACATTTAGAAGAATAACCAAAACATACTGAATCAATTACTTGAGCATAACGTTTATTCAGGTATAACTCATTAATGTCACTGACCTGGTTTATGGTTAATATCTCTGTAATTACTGAGCCTATCTGCATGAAATTGACACAAAGTTCCATGTCTTTTCTATTAGTGCGAATGAGCAAAAAATTGTGGCATTATTCATCTCCAAAGACGTGACTGTTGTCAGTTAAAAGGACTTAAAGACATATGATTAATATGGCAAGTTTGTGGGCACAATCTCTAACGAATAAGAATCTGGTTCAGCGTTTTTGTTTTTCTTAAGTTTCAAAATTTCTCCCATAGAGTTATATAGCCTCCTCTTTTGCCATAAGTTAATGAATGTTTGGGTTACACAATGAAGAGTATATGAGATTTTCAGGAATGTACATAAAATTTCAAACTCAATTTCGATACTAAGGAATAACATTATACTCAATACTGAGTCCAATATCACAAGGATAATTAACATTTTCAACATGAAATAGTAGTACTTTCTTTTATGTTACCATGTAGCCTTAAATTATATCTGTGTAATCCCTCAGTCCTTCACCTCTTACACTTGTTCTGATACAGCTCAAGGTCATTCTAAAGCTATTCAAGGTTAATTTCTGTCTCTAATTAGTATCAGTACTAGTTTAAATATTAATTAGTATCTGATTTTCAATACTCTAGACTAGGGATGGGCATGATTAGTCGATTAATCGATAATTGATCATTAAGAATTTCATCGATTACGTAAATTTTAATGGACAAACCGAATGTAGGTTGCTGTGCGTAGCGTGACTAAACAGGGGTCCGTACATGTAGCTCTCTGCACTCAGAAGGAGCGAGCAAACACAAACAGTCGGTCAGCCTGCAACGTACCGAAGTGCATATGCGTATTTAACGATGATTTGTACAAGAAATTCCACACTTTCCGTTGCGTTCGGGACAAGTGTGAGTCCTTGTGCACAGTGTACAAAGCAGCACATATGTTTCGGTGTCCAGTGGGAAAAAGTTTTGCCAGGTGAGCGTAGCGCAATGTCGATGACGAGTCCCCACCTCCCACCCCCGTAAGGTGTCCTGGTTTTGACAAACGCAAATATGGTCACACTAACCTGTATTCCTTTGAGTCATGTCTTTTAATCCGACAGAAGTTGAACCGCATCAGCGACACCAGAGCTGTATTTTTTTTTATCTTCGCTTAGTTTATGCAAATTAGCGATGCGGTTTAAGTTTCGTTTCTGTGAGAGTTGCGCAAAACTGAATTAAACACATTATAATAAAGGGGCTGATGTGGCTCTAGAGTGGTTACGGTTTATTTGTCGTAAAGTTGAATTTATTTATGCAGATTAGGAGTGCAGATGGTAATAATAATGATGATCATTTTAATATAAAAACGTTAATGATTAATCGATAATCGATCGTTAATTCTCTCGACGATCGATCAAGAAAATTTCATCGAATGCCCATCCCTACTCTAGACAGCCCTAGTACAGTGCAGAGGTACAAAGCTTTAGTGAGTGACACGTTTTTCTGTTGTGTAAAACTATTTATAGTCCAGTCCTGTGACATTGTGGAGCATTTTCCACTCAGTCATATCACTCCAAAATAAACACAACCAGCTTTTAGCGGGAGTTATATTTGAACTAGGAATTATCTAAACCAGGAATTAGTGTTGTCACAATACTAAAATTTAAAACTCAATTTCGATACTAAAGAATAGACTCAATTTTGATACCCAGATTATACTTTTAAAAGCACTTTTATTTATTTTATAATATTGTAATTTTTAATACATATTTGTTTATTATACCAGGTGTTTTTACACTAGTTCTGATAAAACTCAAGATGAGTTCAGGAAAGATCCAATTTTATCCTGTTTATGTGATTTTTCTTTCAGTAATGATACCTGTTAAAATGAGTATCTAGTGTCATAGATACTAGTTTTAATTTATTATTTAAATTGTTTATTATCTGATTGTCAACACTTTTCCAACCTTACCATGAACTGACAATATGTATGCCAGGTTATCTTATAGATGGGAACTATGTATAAAATGCATAATATTTATGGAAAATAAAAATGTAACAAAGTACAAAACGCGGTATTCTTTCAAACAACCACATAAACTTGCACTTTCTTTTCAATTTATTTCACTTTGTTTGATACAGACACCTCAACTCTTGCATGCAACATTTTTTAGCAGCACAAAATCTTATGGTTTTGTAGGGTATGCAAAAGTAAATAAAACCAAGATATACATTTGTGACCATTTACCATTCTATTAAAGGTTTCTGATGGGTTCTTGATTTTAACTTTGACAATTCAGTGATCCTATAAGCATGAACTTACTGAGCACTATTCTAGGTGCACTGAAACATTAACAGTGTATACCAAACATGCACAAATCTGTTTTTCCTCCTCATCTAACCTACATATAAACTTGTTATCTATTTTAACATTGCAGGTTTTGGGCTGTGCGGCATTCCAGAGAACCTGATTAACAGTCTATTGAAGACGGGAGTGAAGAGTTTAACTGCTGTTAGTAATAATGCAGGGTAAGTTCATCAGAGGTGATTGTGTTGTTAAATATTGTGTGAATGTTAATGGAGATTGGAGAGGTCCACAGCCAGTCCTCTGGCAGTAAAAACATGTGGTATGGAGCAGAGTTCAGACAGGAGTTTCTTGTGCTAAATGGCAATGTCTGTATTGTTTGTTTCAGGAAATTACTATTGAAATATAAAAAGACAAAAAATGAAGGAATGTATTTTCTTTAGTGTAGTTTATTTCTCATAAAACATTGGCGTATGCAAAAGATCTAATATGTTAGTGCCAGGTTATAGCAAAATTTGTCAGTTCCACCTTAAGTCCTTGGACAGATTGATGTCATAAATGGTGTACATGCCAATAAAGTATGATGTTTATTAATGCAATGATTCATCCAGTTATATCACCCAGCCTTAGTTATAGGATGTTGCTAAAATTAATTAAAGCAGTTGAAATGTCCAGGAATAACATATTATGGACTTTGATTCAATTTCAGGCTTAATAAACTTGGTAAAAGTTTAGTAAGTCCCAGTGTTTTGATACAATTTTCTTATATTATTACTAAGAGTGAAAGGCTAGAGGTCAGTAAGTTATTTATTTATTTATTTATTTTTCCAATTTTGGGCCCATTGTTTAAAATAAGAAAACAATATTGCTGCAAAATGAGGAAAAGAACCTTGCAGTGTAACATTTCAGCATGTCTGGGGTGGAATATCCAGTCCAATCATCATTTTGTACAATACTTAAACTAAATCAATTAAAGGCATAATTAAGCACATTTTTGATTAGTTGCAGAATGATCACAATTCATGTTTTTTTCTTCCTGCTGTCCTTGATTCACCTCTACTGAAACAACTTTTAAAGGGAATAGCACAGTATCAGATCCTTGTGACTGAAAGTCCTTTTATTGGTCCTGTTGTTATGACTCCAAACAGCCTGAAGGAAGCTTAACTGTAGATATGTTTTACACTCTGAAGGGGTGTGTCTCTCCTCCCCTTTGTAACTGAAGCTCATGTGATTTTGACAGTGACCTTCTGACCGCCTCCTGCTGCTTTGATTGTTTGTGTTTTGTTGGTAGTTCTCGTGGCTTGGTCTCTCTTTGAACACTGTTTTGGGTACACAGTCTCACACACAGAAAATGAGACTGCAAGAGTAAATGCACAAAGCGAACAAATTACACTGCTGTTGATGAAGAGAATATTGTTGTAAAGTTCAGCTTCATCTTTACTTATACTGATCTTAATTTATACTGTATCCTTTAAAGGTGCTAGCTGTGCACATGAAGTGAAGTGTTCTTATGCCACTAAAATGTCAAATAACCAACCACCAATTTCAATACTACATTATCTGAATAAGCTTCTTTTTTAGACAGCATATGGTCTCTAGTTCTCTAGTATTTAGTTTTGATACTGATTATTGATGAGTATCTCATTTTAGAAACTCTAGCTTTAGAAACTGGCTTTAGTGGTAGGGTCTGGCAGTTCTAATGAAGAGTGTGTTCTGTTTTCTGATTGGATAAATGACTTGAAGTAAAACTAAAAATGTTGAGGATGTTGGAAGGTCTTGGCTGTAAAATGTTTTGTTTCTTGTCACAGACACAAACAAGTGGAATATGTTTTGAAGTTGAGCAATAATCCAAAAATTGTGGCTAGCTTTTCTGTGCAGAGTTTGCTCGTTCTCCCCATGTTGAGCACTCCAGTTGAGTTTGTTATTGAAGATAAAATATCCACAATGTCAACTAATGTCAACATTATTGTGGAGACAAAATTGTACAATTTACTACTTTATCTACTTTTATTCATATTTGAAAATGGCTGTACTGCTCTGTTTTCCCTATATAATTCCCTTCTGACATTGCTTAATGTGCTTGTATAGTAGATTACAGTAGCAAAAGCAAATGTGTGCCTTCAGTTACTGTTCAGTTGCATCTCTACTTGGACTTTGTATTGTCCAAACCATTGCCCTCAGTGTTTGCTTAAACAGAGAGAGAGGGGCTCTTGGCAGGGATGGACGATTATTTTTTCCATGGGGGCACATGAAAAACAGAAAATACTGTGGAGGGCTGGGCCAAAATGCTCAAATCAATTCTGCATAATCTTAATTGTATTTCTTTATAAAAAGCAGTAAATAGCATTGTTTTGACACGCTGATGAGAGTATATGTTGACTAAGCAATGAAAAAGTAAGGCATTTGCCTTACAAAAAATGTAATTAAAAAACCCTTTAAAATAAAAGCAATGCAGCTTTCGTCCATGCATGAGGTAAAATTATTGTAATTGTATTATTGTAATTCCAAATTTTCTTAAATGGCCGGTCAGAGTCAACCAAAAGGCCATATGAGGCCCGGGAACTGTACAATGTCCAGGTCTGCTCTTGTTGACTCAAATGTATTTTCAAAAGGTTATGTACCAACTACCAACCAAGTAATGATTGCAATAAAGACTGTTATATGACCCGTGATAAGGTGAAAAGGAAAATCAAATCACTCTTATGGACTTTTAGCTTGTATACATACTTTAGTTATTATGTTCTTATACAGGTCTGGGCTGATTCAGATTAAAAAAATAAAACATCTACAACTTAAAAGTGCACTATGTAACATTCTGGTGTGGCATTTTTATTGCATTTATTCACTTGCATGTGTGTCAGTCTTACTGCAAGCATGCTTGCCACTCCACAGATCTGACCCGTAACGTTTCCTGATGGTACAGACATACAGTTGGAGGACCCCTCCACCAGAAAAGTTACACAGTACACTTTTAATTGGTTAAAAATCTCCAAAAATCTGTTAAAAATCAAACTTAAACAATGAAAGTTGAAATTACTATGTGTGTGCTAGTCAGTCAACAGCAAGAGCACTAACCACAACCTTAGCATAAAATGTTCCACAGTATAGCATTATAAATATTGTCTATGGAGATAACCAGGTGCCGCAACCAGGATATAAAGAAACAAACCACTCATAGTAACCCCCAATTTACACCAAAGCAGTAACAGCACACGTTGGTCACGCCACGCGATGCTCAAGATGTCAATGGAGCGTCTCCAGGCCATAGAACTATGATAAAATCTTATTATAGGTCCATGCTCCAGGCTTTTTTAGCAGGGGCAAGACAGGAAATAAGCATGTGATGACAAAATAAAATTCCAATGCCCTTTCAAAATATGTTCTCTAAAACCACTATAGTCATGTAAACGCTGTGATAGACTACGGAAAGTTAATAGCCATTAGGGTTTAATATAATACACTTTAAGACGTGAAACAGCAACTTTACAAGAACAACTTATGAAGGAAAAGACCCGTGGTGCAAGCAAAAAAGTTAAATGAAGAGTATCTTAATTAATGCGAGTACTGTAGATACGGCTTGATATCACTGTAAAGCATCGTCTCTCTTATTGTAAACTTTGGTACTGTGATTTAAAACATAATCTTGGACAGGGATAACTGGAGAAAATGAACCTTGGAATGTTTTGATTCTAGTTCAGCTTTTAATCGTGGACTTTAGTGTAGGGTCCATCACCTGCTTGTTTCTATGGATATGTTATTGCTTTGCCCGGAATGATCCACAGCTCTGCCTTACATTTATTCAATCACAGGTGGTTTTACAGCTCAAAAATACCTAGTAAAAGAGACATTGTGACTGTAAGCTTGGTTGCCTCTGGTCTGGTTTGGTCTCCATGAAGATAGAAACATTTAATACCATACTGTGAAACATTCCAGACATCTCCATGCAGAAAAGGATTTGACGGACCCTCTACCAGAAAAGTTATACAATGCACTTTTAAGGTTTACATCATAATACTATACTAAATTTGACTATATTCCCAATTTTCATTTTATTTGCCATTTGCAGTACAAAAACCAGATTGGAAAAAATGGTTAGCTATATGTATTGTCACATAAAACAAATACAGTTCCATATTGCATTCCTTTTATACCATAACCTTTCTCTTCCACTTTACGCTTGACTCTTTGGTCCTGAATGTTTCTTTTCTGTCTCAGCCCGTATTATGTTTTTGCAGCTTTTGCGCGCTGAGGTAAACACAGACCTTTGAGTTGGCGGAACAATAATCCAGTGAACTCTGTGTGGTGTGTAACACGAGACGAGAGCGAGCTCTGAACCGTGACAGCCTGGTCCCCTGTGGCGTCCAATTTCTCTGTAATCAACCGCTCCAGAGACTGTACCATCTGAAAATGTGTGGAAAAATGTCATGATACCACTCGTACAATAACACTAAAGCAGGATAATCCCAGTAAACCTTATTTTATCTAGCGTATTATTGAGAACATGAGTTGCAATAAATAAATGGCAGAATGAAACACTATTTAGTATCAGTAATTAGAGCGGCAAGATTAAGCATAATCAAATCAAAATCGCAATTAGCAAATCACAAAGGCTGCTTTTTTTCTATATGATTACTACTTTCTACATTTGATACGCATACAGAAGACATCAAATATATCAAGTAAGATGAGTAATTGAAGTATGAAGTATGACGTAAATCATGTAGTAGAGAAAAAAAGTTAACTATAACAAAACAAATATTTAGTCTTTTTTTTTCCTTTACTAAATAATTTCATATATCTTGCTTCATATATTTGTCTTCTGTATGTATATCAAATATAGAAACTGGTAATAAAAAAGAACATTGACTGAGAGGATGCATCCAAACTTTTGACTGGTAGTGTAAATGTGGGTCAATATTTTGAATGACTGTAATGGTATTTTTACTTATGTTCTTATTTTATTATCATTAGAAACCTGAAAAATGAAATAATCACAAAAAAAGACTATAAAGTTATAAGGCTAATGCTTTCATTCATTGGAAAGAGTCGTCCTTGTGGTTTTCCTTGCGTTATTTGTGTCTATTTTCCATTTCCATTTATTGCTCCATATACAGTACATCCAAGGTAGTTGTGTGTTTTTTGTGTTTTCTTGGCTTTCACTGAAAATACACAAGGTAATAAACTTCAGTATACATAATATACCTTATCTTTACACTGCATTATCTCACATTGTTACTGCCTAGTCTTGTTCTTATCTGTATGTCTGCTGACGTGCACCCAGTTACGGTAGCACATTTCAACTACATAATTGGAATCATTAAGTAACTACATGCACCCTTGATTAATATCTATAGTAAAAAATAAATAAAATCATTAACAGCCTTTAGTGTTTTCACAATACTAAAATTTCAAACTGGATTTTGATAGGAAGGAATAGACTCAAAACTCTAAACCAATTAAGATACCACAATCATAATAAAAACAGTCTTTAGACAACAGAATGTGATTTTCTAAAGCTATTCAGGAAAGGTTTGAATACCAGCTCAAGCGTCCCTCTGGCTTGAAAGTCCCAGCTCAAGCATCCCATTCTCTCAGGAATGTCCCCATTTGCTTGGAGAAGTTTACTATGAAATTGTATTTTAAATAATCAGCTCATGTCAGGTGCCATGTCATGTAACAGCAAGCATGTAAATGTAAAGCAGGGTGCTCATCCTTCCCAAATCAGAATACTTGCTTTTGCTCAACATGAACAAATGTGTTGAGATATACTGTAAATTGCGTGTGTAATTAATACAATATATATATTGAAAAAAAGTTGTTGTTTTTTATTTATATGTATATAGATTAACTAACTTAGTTTCATAAAGGGTAGAATTCAGGGGGACTTTCGAGCTGATTTCTAAAGGTTTATTTCTGTCCTGGGAAAGTGACTTTTTTTAGTATCAATACCTGTTCAAATGGTATCTAGTTTCAATGCCAATTTTAGTATGTTTAATATCTAAACTTTTAAACATACTTTTCGATACTTTTTACTTCTCTACAGCATGTGTAAAAGCACTTGCCTTCTCTATTATTTATTTCTTAATTCTTATTTTTATTTATTTGTAAAGGAACAGCACATATTTACATTTTTTAATGTTCATTAATATGTAGATTATAGCCAACATGGCAAATTCCCTCGGCAGGCTCTCTTGGTTTTCTTGTTGTAATCGTTCTAAACTACAGTTGTCTCCTCCTCAGAGTGGATAACTTCGGCCTGGGCCTGCTCCTTCAGACCAAACAGATCAAGCGGATGATTTCCTCATACGTCGGGGAGAATGCAGAATTTGAGAGGCAGTATTTGTCTGGAGAGTTGGAAGTGGAGCTCACACCTCAGGTAGGTGCCTTCACAGAACGAAGGATGCACTTCAGAATATTAATATTTTTATTTTTATTACACTATTTTGTTGTTTCCTCATCACAAACATACCTGGAGTTGTGTTCTGTTTCAGTCACACATAACACAAAACCCTGCATATTTAGATTATGTGCTCCACTGTGTTTTTAAACTCCATACTACTAAGCAAAAGGTAAAATGAGCTATTAACTTGAAAACTATTGCTTCATGACATCGCAAGGTCGAGCAGGGCACTTTGCTCTTTGGAGTTGCAGGGAGGGTTACTCAAGCATGTTTGAATGAAGCAAAACACAACTCCAGGTAAATTTTTGAGGAGATAAGAGCTTTATAGCATTACAAAAAGCTCATAATAGTTTTTTGGTAGTAGTTTAGATATTTGGAATTGCTTCATGTTTTCTTTTTTTAAGTCAGGTAAGAAAAATGGGGAAATTGCTTTAATGGCAACAAACCATTTAGCCTAATATAGCTTAAAAAAAAGTCACAGAATCTTAAAATGGGTAAGTAATAAGATACATTTTCGTGAAACACACAAAAAAATAAATCTAAGAGCTGCTCACTGAAGTATTAAAAAAATGAATTGAACCTGTCTCGCCTTATATAGATTTTTAGTTTCTGTAATGAGTGAATAGACCTGAACTTCAGCCAGTGTTATTGTACAGGGCACTTTAGCCGAGCGGATCCGAGCTGGAGGAGCAGGGGTCCCAGCCTTCTTCACTGCCACAGGTTATGGCACCCTCATCCAACAGGGAGGCTCCCCCATCAAGTACAACAAAGATGGAAAAATTGAAATTGCCAGTGAACCCAGAGAGGTGAGCCAGATACATGTGTTTTTGGAGGGATGGTTTATGGTTTAGGCCCATTTTGAGTCCTAATGTAGATTTGGTTTGGTTCTGTTCTAGTCTTGGTTTAGTCCTGATGTAGAATCGGTCCAGTTTAGTCAGAATTTTGATGTGGTGATTTACCAGGTATAAACGTTATATTCTAAAAAATATACTTATTAGGAGTGTTAAAATATTTGCAATGCTTTGAGATTACATCTTCATATTATATACTTAGTCTTTTTTAATGAAGAAATCTACTGCCTCTGTCTGTAAAATCACATGGTTTCTGACTTTAGTGTAAAAATATGACTATTTTGTGGTTTCTTGGAAATTAATATTGAAAAAGGCCATTTTTTGTGGCATTTATTGAGACTAAATAAAATTGAATCGAAAATTGTGGTTGATCAAATTTAGAGAATAAATTGTGAATGAATAAATCATTTTAGCCCTATGGGAAAGTCACTGATACCCACCATCTTCTCTCTGCAATATCAGCAAATAACATGCCTATCAGATTTGTTGTCCTGCTGAAGTGAATTACGTGGAGTGCAATGTAAATATAGGGCAAAAGTTAGTCGTTACAAAGTTTAAAGCTGCCTGTAGTCAGGACATAGGAGTGATGTTTGCCTAAATCTGTGTGACAGTCTGTGTGATGCAGTGGCCTCTGAACTGTCTTTTCACACAGGTACGGGAGTTCAATGGCAGGCATTACATCATGGAGAAGGCCATCACCGGAGACTTCGCCCTGGTCAAAGCGTGGAAGGCAGATCGGGCTGGAAATATTGTTTTTAGGTGAGAAGAGTTTCCGCCAAATGCACACCCAGGCCTATCATGATCATTACTGTATAAATTATAGTTCTATAATAGCTTGAACTATATTTTTGGGGCTCAGTATTTATCAGGGTTTGAGCTTTAGATGGTCAAATGAGAAACCTCTGTAACAATAACCGAAATATAGTGATATCGTATCGTCAACAGTCACACAATAATATCGTGGGTTGTCACAATATATCGAATGACAAGTTTCTTTGCTTAAATACATGATTTTATTTATCTTATAAATATAGGGAACTACATATCCCATGATTCATTTCAGTGCAAACAACATGAAGATATATGTTTTTTACTTGAATTCATGGCATTATGACAGAAATAATTCACACCAAAATCTTGTCGAGGCATTTTAAAAGCAGAAACGTGTCCTATCTATAATTATATTAGTTTTGTCAAAATATCGCAATAAATATCGTACCGTGAGATGCATATCATGATAATATCGTACCGAGAGATTTGGATATCATTACATTCCTATCTTTAACTAGTGTTTAATTTTGATCTTTATTTATTGCAGTCCATGTTTTTTAATAGGGCTGAACAATTTAGGAAAAATATCTCAGTTTTCTGGCAAGCTTTGTGATTGTGGTTTAGATTTGCAATTTATCTCTTGGTATAGGATTCTGTTCACGGTTCACATTTTAAACACATCCAGAAGAAATGACAAAAAGACTGAAATATGAATTGACAAAATAATACAACAATTTCATTTCAGAACATGATACATTTATACAGAATTAGACTGGACTTTTGTTATTTGTGGATGAAATTATGGTAGTTCAAAAACTGCAACTTTTGGGATTTGCTAATTGCGTAATTCAGATTGAGGTTCTTAGCATATGTAGGAGCTTAGAATAGTTTTAGTATTATCGTTTATAGGCCTACACACACACACACACGCGAACACCTTTAACTTGTAGCAAACGTTTTTTCCATAACAATTGCCTTACCTCACCTTGTCTCATTATCTCCACAACAGTGTTTCCACAACAGTCAGCGCATGATTTTCAAAGTTATACAGTGACGTAAATGTGTTGTGTGTAGCTTTATTTAATGCTGGTAGAACAATGGAAAGACAACACATAATTTTCCAGTTGTATAAATTCATATGTATATTTTATACTGTATTATTCATCGTATTTCTTTAAGTAATGAGTTTCAGTCTATTGGTATTTTTCAGTTTCTCCCCCCTCTAATCCTCATCTAATTCTTAATTTTTAAGTAATATTTCCATCCATACACAACTCTACCCAACCACATACAATGGATAGAAATGACTAAACAAGCTAGCAAAACAATAAATAAACAACTAAGTGCAATGATCAAGTTTCCCTCTGATGCAATGAACCACAAAATCGTTTTATGGCAAATTTTTCATTCAAGTGTAGTAATCTCTATGACCACAAGATGGCAGTTTTCTCCAAGAGATCTCTTTACAATTGGAGTCCAGAGCTTGTATTGTGAATTCTAGTTCTAACATGTCTTCTTTTCCTCACAGGAAAACTGCTAGAAATTTCAATCAACCAATGTGCAAAGCTGCAAAAGTCACAATTGTAGAGGTAAGATTACACATTTACCCCATCAATGCTGTAAACTGTATGACTTGTTTAATTTCATTTTTATTCATTGTGCTGGAAGTGCTTGGATGTATTAAGAATATTTGTGCTCCATTTTATATCCTGTGTTGTTTTTTGGTAAATGTAACCCCTTAATCAATACCACTAAATCAATATTGTGGCCATATCTCCTTGACAATGCCCAACCCGAAGATAAACTGGGTTGGGTCTGGTTAGTGCTTGCATGGGAGACTGATGGGAATACCAGGTGCTACAGTGATATTCTGTGGTTATAGTGCAAGCTTTTATTGTGTCCTTAGGCAAGACACTACATTAATCTGATGTGGGAGTGAGTGATCACTGGTGGTTGTTGTTGAATGAATAATGCAATGTTAAATGAGGTGTACTGAATGCATTATTATTAGTAGTAAAGTAAACACGGGAGAGCGATATGCAGAAAAAAAGCAGTCCTAACACCATTACATCTTCTGAATGTCTACGCTTTACTGTAATTGGTTTACTCCATCTGTCAGTCAGAGCATGACAGAGGCTGACCAATAGGAGTAGTGGATGAGTGTAACGGTCTGTATTTGAGCGTAAAGCTGCATTAAAGAGCCTATATTTGCTTTAAGCCATGTTATAATGTTGTTACTTCATCAAAAACATACCTGGAGCTCTGTTTTTTTCATGTGTTATTAATCTGTATACATCTCCAAAGCTCAAAATGCTCTGTTCCACCTTGTGATGTTATGTAGTGGTAGTTTTCAACATGTTTTAACAGCTACCTTTTCCCTTTTTATTCAGTAGAGATTTGCAATTCCAGAGCTGATGATTGCCAAATGATTCTAGTAGTAGTGAGTTTAAAAACACAGTGGAGCACTTCCTGTATTACAACATGACATCACAAGGAGTGTTTTCAGTTTGAGAACTTATTGTAAATATGCAGGGGTTGTGTGTTAAACATGTGTGAATGAAACAAAACGCAACTTCAGGTATGTTCTTGATGAGGTAACAACATTATAGCATGATTTAAAGCTCACAAGAGTCAATTTTGCATAATATAGGACCTTTATTTATTTATTTTTATTATAACTTGGATCAGAAAATGTTTTGTATTCACCAAAATAGTCACAGGGATTAGCTCATCATTTAGATTTTTTTCACTCATCCCTAAATGTAAATCCCCAAACTTTGAGTGGCAGTGTCCCTTTTGGTCTTGTTTGTGTCATTTTCATTTTTATTCCGAGTGGTGATCCACCTGTCTCACATGTGTCAGTCTGGAAATGTGATAGCTCATCTCTGCTCCTGTGTTTGTGTGTGTGCCTGCCTCCCCCTCCGCTTCACACTTTCCTATAGAGATGAATCCGGCAGGCAAACACTGTGTAGATATATGTATGCGCGTTCGCCATAAACCGTTACCGCTTCCTGGAAATAAATTGGTAGCTAAAGGTCTCTCATAAATGCGACAGACTTTCACAAAGGACAGTTTCAATTATTGTCTGTCTGGACCACAGAACTTGATTGGAAACGTCTGCCGCCAAATGGCAACATACGTTTTTAGGCATAATCAAAAAATGCAAATTGTACAGGTGGTAAATGAGTCTGGGATGGGTGCTTTCTGAATAGGTCAGAATTATATGGTGGAAGTTGCCGTTTTATCATCAGTTTATAGCTTTGTTATCCTTTATTTAGGGATGTACTGATCCAGCTTTTTGTTTGTTCTGATATCAGTATCAATACTTTGACGTGAAGTACTTACTACTACCTGATATTAACCAATTGCAGTGTAGGGACGGAAAATGGCACTTATTTCTTATAGACTTTATAAAGAAGTGGACTAAGCGAGTGTGATGTCACCCATAGCATTCAGTCAAATGTAGTCCATCAAGGCTTGCAGTTATGGGAGAATTTGGAACAGTTCCATATTAGGGATAGGATTTGATTTTTGGACAAAATGGCGAAATAAAAACACCAGGATTATATAAAGCGGTTTAACACCAATATTTTAAGACCAAAATGACAGCAGCAGTTATGGAAAGAGGGGCGACGTTTTTTTTATACTAAGTGAATGGCTCATGTTTACTTTCTATTTGGAAAGCAGATTCTATCAGGTTAACTAGGTCCATTTATGTATATAATCTATGTTATTCCCTTAAAACACAGTTAAATTAGTACACAAGACATCCAATTGTTTTATGCAGCTGTCATATATCCTTCAAATACTACTATTGGACTCCTTTGTATGAATAAATGTCAAACCCTTATGAGACATTCTTGGCCATAATCAGCTTGCAAATAGTCTTATTACATCCAATTAAAGGCCCAACCAGGATATAAGCTTAATTGATTTCATGGAACCGATACCTAATGCTGATATTTGATACCAGTATTAATACTGGTGCATCCCTATCCTTGTTTATGGGTAATATCTCTGTAATTACTGGGCCTATCGACACAAAGTTGAATGTCTTCTCTGTCAGTATAAATGAACAAAAGTATAATTATGTTTTCACAATAGCTAATAGAAAATGGTACCATTGTTCAATCCAAAATCTTCATCAAATAAGGATAGGCATCAGCATTTGTACTTAATAAGTTTGGATATTTCTTTCAAAAACAGTAAATCTCCCATGGTGTTATATAAGCCCCTATCCTCCATCTGTTATGGGATTATCAAATTCTAAAGACTACAGAGCACAGTGAAACAATCATCAGATGGCTTAAAAAGGCTGTTTTGTATACATTTTAATGTGGCCAGTACGAGGGCTTAACCAGATGGTCTAAGTGTGAATTGTGAACTAAGCAGCAGGTGTTGTCCCAAATAAAAACCTAAACCAGGACAGAATCAACAAGGTGACCGACCAAAGACTGAATGTATGACTTGGGAATTAGGACTACACTGCAACTTGCCTGAAAATAAATAAATAAATAAATAAAATAAATGTACAGATGGTACAGATGGCTTTAATAAGACTATATTGAAGTCCTTATTACAACAACATAGACTCTATAATTGAAGTGAACTAAGGGATTTTGACATCACCCATAGTGTTCAGCTCAGCGAGGCTAGCCAGGCTGGCGCCATCTAGTGCCTTCGCTCAAATTAATTTCTCTCCAGTGACTAGGTCAGGAATTCGAATACACTAGACGGTTTGCAAGAACACCGGCCAATCAGTGATGTGCTGAGAAGCCATGAATGGGTCCCTGTCCCTACAGCACAACAATAAACAACGGTCGAGATGGATGTAGACGAAGCCATACATTCTGTGTTGGCAACGATTCCCGAGATCGAGGATTTAAAGCCAGAACAAAGAGAATGTTTGGTGAATTTTATCAAGGGAAAAGACGTTATTGCTCTTCTTCCTACAGGATTTAGGAAAAGCTTAATACACCAGTTAGTCCTATTAGATACGTCACGGCCAGCAATTGGTTAAATAAAAAAAGTACTTGCCTACCGTCGAACGAACAAATCCTAATGCTGCGAGGTCAGACGGTTTCCACGAAATGAAACTGGCTGATGAATCAGGCTAAGCAGTAATAGCAGCCAATCTGAAACCAGGGACCAAAGTTGGAAAGTCGAGTGCGAAACCAAAGAGACAATCAGGAGCAAGGCTGTTGAAAGTACACATCCCTTCCGGCTGGTTTGGCAGCAAAGAGGCTGTCAATCAACCTGTTTTTCTAATGGTAGCAGGAGCGAACTGATGTAGACAGACTAATAATAAAGGGTTACTCAGACATGTGTGAATAAAACAAAACACAACTCCAGGTATGTTTTTGATGAGGTAACAACATTCTGACATGGCTAAAAGCTCACAGTTGTCAATTTTGTGTAATGTAGGACCTTTTAATAGTTGTCAATGCCACAGGAGTACACCAGTAGTTGTTTAACCAGCTAAATATACAGTATGTTGAACTAAACAAGAGCTTTTATTCAGTGACTTTCTCTTAAGTGTCTGGCAATTTCCATATACAATAAAAAATAGGCCTTAAAACAGTGTAATTTTGCAGAGGCACAAATTGTTCTCTGTCATGACGGGAATTGCTCTACATTTTTACAGACAATCGTAAGGCGTTTGGGTAATGGCATAACAGCCTTGTGGAGTTGTTGACAGCCCTGGGCCCTATAATGTGAGTCTGACGTGTGGCGCTGGAGTGGTGATGCAGAGACAGTGACAAGAATTACAATGGTGTACTGCTTAGAGAGATGCTGTGTGAAGCGCCAGGGTAATTGGGTGGGTTTAATATTGAAATGTGGGCCTCAGCTGCTCTGCACCTGAATTAAGGGCTCAGAGAGGATACAATTATTTGCACAGAGAAAGTCACACAGTATTTTTGTGTTATGCAAAGGTTCCTGCTATTTGAAAGAGCAATACATTGGCAGCTTAGTTGGCGCTATAAGTCTTTGCTTCTCTATTTTGTGTCACAGTTTAATTCTTCCATCTTGTGGGCTTGGGGGTTGAGTTTATACCAATACCACTGAATCTATGGGCTTAAGATGGGCTACATGAGTCCTTATAACGATTTAAAGGGCCCATATTACACTATTTTCTGATCTATGGTATAATGCGGTTTCCTCATCTCAAACATACCTGGAGTTGTGTTTTGTTTAACACACAAACCCACAAACCTTGCATATTGAGGCTTTCAGACAGAAAACACTCTCCTCCACCTTGTGATGTCATGTTGTAATACAGCTCCACCGTGCTCCATACACCTTAACTAGAATCATTTGGATGATTTCGGCTCTGAAATTGTCTCTGCTGAACAAAAGATAAAAGGAGGTGTTAACTTGAAAATGACCACTTCATAACATCAAGAGGTGGAGCAGAACATTTTAAGCTTTGGAGATGTAGACAGACTAGTAATAAAGGATTACGCAAACATGTGTGACTGTAACAAAACACAGCTCCAGTTATGTTTTTGAGAAGGTAACAACATTATAACATGGCTTAAAGTTAACAAGAGTCAGTTTTGCGTAATATCTTAATATAGATTAGTCCAGT